GACGCGAGAGTCCTCGGTGGCAGGAGTCTGACCATCCCGAAAAAATCAAGCGAAGCTGAAAAGAACAAGATGTTTCCAACTGTGCAGGGCACAGCAGAAGGCAGCAACTCCGAACAACATAAGAGCCGCCTCCCTCCCATCCCCGCAGCTCTCCGACCCACCAATCTGGGGCATCGCTCTTCCGACAGATCGCATGCTGCGGGCATGCGATGCTGCATGCTGCTCGAGAGCGACCGGCGAATCCTCGAGCGAGGAGGCGGGAGGGGAAACCACGAAAGAAGTGGAGGCGGCACCTCCGTAGAAGGTGCTGCAGCCCCCTGGGTTTAGTGCAAAGCCAAAAGGTCCACGCCTCCCGGGGAAGCCACGAAGAGGCCAACATCCGTCAACAGCCTGGGGAACATCGATCTGTGTTGCTCTCTTTCCACTTCGCTCTCGAAAGGCCCTCCGAGGGCTCAAGATGGCTCCAGTCCTGCCCAAGGCAGCCCCAAGAGGAGCCCAAGAGGGTTCCAAGACGGCCCCTCGCCCGTTTCGGCACACCCCTCACGCGGATAGTGCCCCACAAGGAGCTCCACAGACAGGCCCCGGTAGGCAAGCTCGCATGCGGCCATGCGGATCCTGCCCCACAGGGAACTGCATATGCGGCCCCCCAGTGGGCACCCCTGAGCCGCGAGCACCCCATGCCAACAGTGAGCAGTAAGATCTTTGGGCATGGCCGACTGCCGTCGATGGAGAACGGGGCTGGCAATCAGCAAAGGCGCGCGGTATGCGCCAACTCTAGGGGAACGAAGAATGACATGAACAGAAAAACTCGGAGGTCCGCGCGGACTTCTCGGGTCCGCGCTGGACACCCCCCTGGCGGTGCCTCCGGCGCCGCCCCTGGCGCGCTCCGCGCGCCACGGAGAGGGGTCCAGCGCGGATCCGAGAAATCCGCGTGGACCTCGGAGTTTTTCTGTTTATGTCATTCTGTGTTCCCCTAAACTCACCTACCGTCGGACTTCATTGGACAGGACACGCGAGAGGACACAAGACCCTTCCGAGGGCCACATCGCCGTGGGAGTGTAAGGAGGCACGGGTCGCGAGGCACAGGACACGAGGGTACCCTTGATTTGGCAGGGCCCACCTACTAATCCGGGCCGGCTGTACCACGCCTTCATGCCACCGGCTCTCCTTTGGAATCCCACGCCTGCCACCACAAGAGGGTAAAACAGGGCTAGGATCGGGATAAATCGCTCCAGAGCGTTCCGGAGCGCTCTCAGAGCGTTCCGGAATGCTCTGGAGCGGCCGCGGCGCCCAATACATCCTCCAAGCCCGCCGATTCTCAGAGATTTCGAGTTATCCCGATCCGATTTTGTCCCGATCTTCGCGTCGTTTGAGAGGGCCCCAAGAACGAGGAAAAACGCAGGGCCTTTCTCCGTGGCCACAGCCGGCCTCGGCCGCGAAGGGGTTCGACCCCGACCTGGCTCTGGGGAGCGGCCCGAACACCAGAGCCGCTTGCGCCAAAGGTTACCCTACAGCGGGGCTGAGCCTAAGCGGTGTTTTTCGTTTTCGTTTTGTTTTCGTTTTCTCGCATTTTCTCTTCAATCCGCCTTTGCCGCAAAACGAGGTCGAAAGGAAAACGGCCCACGAAATCGCCAAAACACTGTTTAGGTCCAGCCCTGCCTTACAGCGGGGGCCGATCCACAAGAAACCTTCCACAAGAAACCCAGCCCTGAGACTCCAGGACGTCCATCGGTTTCTGGTGTGGGAACGTCCCGCACTCCAAGGCAAAACCAGCGAAGCCCTAGAAACCCAGGGCACCCTGGAGGCAAGCAGGGTTTTTCTTGGCATGGGCCCCCGCTGTAGGGAACGGCCCGAAAACTAGAGCCGTTTGCGCCACAGGTTACCCTTACTTCAGCGTCTAGACCGTACGGGCCGACAGTGCCCACAACCGCAAACTGGCACCAGGCTGCTGCAAGGAAGTGCTAGTAGCAAGCTGGAAAACATGGAAGCGGAATGTGCGTGTATCTAGCTGCGCGGATCAACGGGCTCCTACAGCAGAGTCGGGCAAGTCAGACCCGACAAACGAGGCATCGAACGATTCGAGTCAGGAAGCGTTCCGCCGCACAAGCAATCGCCATATCTGTCGCTGGGCACACCAAGTGTTTCAAAGCCCCCATCCTCTGCTGATGACAGCGGCGTCCCCCGCAGAATTGTTCACAACATGTAGTGACGACGGCGTGCGCTCGCCCGCCCCTGTTACCGTGCAAATGCACACGTACATGTGCAAGTGTACGCTAGTGCGCGGGCCAATAGGGAGGGCCCTTGGCCCTCCGTAACATACAGGCACTAGCATGCGCATACAAACAAGCAGGACCTCATACAATACATTCGAGAACAGGGAAGGACAAAGGATGGAACAGACTGCCGAGCGCATGCAGCACATACTAGTGCGTCATCATCTGCGCTCTCATGCGCACACGTTTTCGCAGACGCAGATTGCCTGTGCACGGTCGTCCTCCCTAGATTCCCTGAAACGCACGCCTATGTCCGCCCTCACCAGAAATCCATCGGCGATGGTTCAACGCATTTACCAACGCTTCAGGGCAACTCTTGTTCCCCTCATCCCGCACACAGACAACGCGCTCGCGGCACACAGTGCTGGCGGGAGAACCAAACAACGCATGGAGAAGCAACTATCAAAATGATGCCCCCTCATGCCCCTGGCACGCGAGGGCGCTAGAATGTTCGTTTGCTGTCTGGTGCGGCTTCTCTGATTTTCTATGCACGCCACCCCTTTGTGACGCGCGCCCGCCCCCGAAATGGGCATCGGACACCGGATCGGCTCGATCGGTCGAAAAGCATCCTGAGATCTCTGGAGATCTCAGGGGGGACGAGGAGAAGGAGGAGGAGGAGGAGGAGGAGGAGGACGAGGAGGAGGAGGAGGAAGACAGATAGATGGAGATAGACCGCGCCTCGGAGAGGTCGGCAGGTGAACGCACCACAAGCGGGCACCAACCCAGCGCGCTGGGCGCCCCGCCGGAGCGCGGGGCACTCACGGCGCGAGACGGGCCCGTCTGGGTGGGCAGCAGAGGAGGAGGAGGAGGAGGAGGAGGAGGAGGAGGAGGAGGAGGAGGAGGAGGATGAGGAGGAGGAAAGGGAGGAGGACCAGTGTAAACCCAAGAGTCACCAACGATGTTGGAATAAACCCTACCCCCAAGCTCCCTTTTCCCTAAGCACCTACAACGGCTCATTTCCACAGAGTGACCTGCCTCGTTGGAAGACAATCGTTTGAAAACCCTGAAGCATGCCAAAGTATGATTCTCGGTATTCCAACGCCACGGATGAAACTGACTTTGGCGTCTTGACGATCCGGAATCGTACCAGAACGCCATTCCTGGGACCTCAACTCCGCGAATCATCGTAACTGTTTCGCCTTCAAAATAGTGAATCCTTCAAGATCAAACGCACAATTTTTGGCACGTCGATCATGGGAAACCCGTGAAAGTCCTGCAATATTTCAAAGGATGTGCGCGGCGCTAAAGCGAAGGAACCGCCCACAATCCGTGAAAGTCTTGTAAACTATTGAAACGAATGTGCGCGGCGCTAAGACGAGAGCCACATTTTGAAAACCGAGAACCACATGTTGAAAACGACCCGCCTTCCACCCGTGAAACTCATGAAAATGTTTGAACCGAATGTGCGCGGCGCTCAGGCGAGAGCCACATCTTGAAAACGACCCACCCTCCATCTGTGAAACCGTTGCCGATCTGTAAATTTCAGGGCCGTCAGTGGCGAGGAAGTGTCGGGCGAACCGCCCGGCCCGTCCTGAAAACTGGCCCCTGGGTGCGACAAGGAAAGATCACGTATATTGGGTGAGGACTGACCGTCCCGGCATTTCTAGAATCCTGCCACGAAATGTTCTTAGAACCAAAAAGTGCTCTCAGAGCAAAAACCATGTTCTTAGAGCATGAACCCGATGTGATAAAACAAAACAGACTCCGCAAAAAATGTTCCAAGAACATTTCGTGGAAACCGCAGAAAAGGCTCTCAGAACATCGTTTGGTAGGGCCATCGGCGAGCCGGGACGCTTCGCCACTGCCCGATTGCAAGGCGAAGGCATGGAGGAGGAGCAGACCTGCGGCCGCTGGGCGGCCCAATGTGAAGGGGCCCCAGGACACGCAAACAAATGCACACAAATAACAAGATCCCCCGTCTTTTCCCACATCTTCTGGGCTTTTGTCTCCCCCCCACACTTCCCATCTCTTCCCATATCTTCCTGGGGATCGACGCTTCCTGGTGTCTGTGTGCTGTTTTCCCCCTCCTGACTCCAGGCAGCCCCGCCGCGGCTCTCCGCGGCACGGCCCCGCGGCGCCCCACCGCCTGGCGGCCCCCCCCCCCCCGAGACGCTGCTGGCGGCCCGCCTCGGGGACACAGAGAGCTCGGAGGGCGCCGAGCGCTCGCCGCGCGCGCCCCTGGCCTGCCGGGAGGCCGCCCGCGGGGGCCGCCTCCAGCGCATGGGACTCAGGAGGGGAAAAAACACGCAGACGCAATGAATCGTCAATCCCCAGGAAAATATGGGAACATCTGGGAGGTGGGGGGGGGAGACGAAAATCCAAAAAATATGGAAAATATAGGGGAATCCTTTTATTTGTGTGTATTTATTTGTGTGTCCCAGGGCCCCTTTAGGGACGCGACCGCGGGGGCCCCAAAAGACCCCCCCAGGGGATGCCCCGAGGAGGGCAGCCCCGAGGAGAGCCTCCGCGAGACCTGCACAGGAGCCCCTCCGCCCTCGGGAAGAGCGCTCGCCTCGGGACGCGACCGAGGCGGCCCCAAAAGACCCCCCCGGGGATGCCCCGCAGAGGGCAGCCCCGACGGGAGAGCCCCCACGAGATCTGCACAGGAGCCCCTCCGCCCTCGGGGAGGGCGCGCTCGGCGGCGCCGCCCGCGCCCCGGGCCCCGGCCTTCCAAGAGGCCGCCCGCGGGTGCCCGAGAGACCAGCCAGTCCTCGGGAGGCGAGCGGG